GACACACACATGATCACACACCTTCATATTGTTCTCTGTTGACGTAGCTAAAGCTGAGGCATACCATGTGGCTCTTATGTTTGGGTGAAGGGGTTTCTCCCTGGGGCTTTTACTCTCTCACTGGACTTAGGCCAACAGAACCAGGTGTGGCCACTTACCAGTGTAAGTGATCCACAGAGAGAGCGATGCATGTAGAGTGCAGAGGTCCGACACACAGCCATTACGGAGCATTAGACCATGAGCTCCTGCAGGATATCACCTGACCTCTTCTGACCTGGACACAGAAACTCTCTTTCCCTTTACATCTTTCTTTCATTTACTTCTTTTTTTAACCTCTCAACTGTTAAGCTCATGAAGGGTTTTAAGGTTGTTGCTCGTTTTTTATACTCAGCTGCTCATTTCACATGCCACGTTGTCCGGTAACATGTGTTTATCCCCTGGCTACATTCTTTTATTCATGCTCTAATAAATGGGCCAACTCTCTCTTTCCTCTAACGAGTGTGCCCCTATCATTTCTCAAGGACACTGAGATGTAGTAAACAAGCAGAAAACTCATCAATTACATCCATAGGGTGGCAGCTGCATGGCGTGGACAAAATCAGATTCCCTGCACAGTCGGTGCGAGGCATTGTGAGCGTACGCTATGTGTGAGTGAAGATTCTGCTCTATTTCTATTGTAGTTCTCCTGTAATGCAACTCACTGTCAGAGTCAGAGTGGCAGCCTGAATTGCTTCAGTCGGATAAACACTCCCAGCATGCACTGCTTTGCCTCAGTCTGCGCAATGCTGCATTGGCAGCCTCCTGGCAGGATTCTGAGGTGTCTCGGTTCAGAAGTAGCGGTGTGTGTGTGTGTGTGTGTGTGTGTGTGTGTGTGTGTGTGTGTGTGTGTGTGTGTGTGTGTGTGTGTGTGTGTGTGTGTGTGTCTGTGTGTGTGTGTGTGTGTGTGTGTGTGTGTGTGTGTGTGTGTGTGTGTGTGTGTGTGTGTGTGTGTGTGTGTTGTGTGTGTGTGTGTGTGTGTGTGTGTGTGTGTGTGTGTGAATGTATGTGTGCAGAATGATGATCCTTACAGACTGGAGATGCTTGAGTCTGCACCAGAATTATATTTGGCACCTGAGCTACAGACTGAATAACAACAATGCTTATAATAGTTTTTACAACTGTGACTTAAAAAAAACAGGTTGGAAAAATTCCACACCCAAAACAGTGGAGATAAAGTACTTGCAAGCATGCATGTGTGGGGTTTAAGCAGTGTTTCTCTCAGGATCCATTACACACACAGAATAAAGGAATGTGTACTATGTGCTGCAATGCAACTCACTGAGGACCACAATCCCAGAACTATGTGGAATGTACCCTCTAACTGCCAGTAACCGAAACCTACACTCGCTCAACAACTGCAGTACACAGTCAGTGGTCGTGTACATGTCACTCCGAATCAAAATCAAGAGCAGACCGAACACAGGTACAGCCAGAGAGAGAGAGAGAGGGAGAGGGAGAGGGAGAGGGAGAGGAGAACTGAACAGTGTTGCTGTCTAAGACTGAAAGAGGGTGTTCACTTCAGGAACATACAGTATGTTAAGACAGCTTCATATTCAAATTCACTCTGTCACAGGATTAAGGAAAAGCGACTGTCCCAGTTTTCATGACAGTTGAAACTGGAAGGGTGTAGCAATGGAAGAAACCATCACATTTTGGAGTGGTTCTTAAAGATAGCTGCATTATGTTTGACTTCCATCAACATAGCAAAAGTTGGAGCTGCATTTATGTGCTGTCAGAGTAACTGGGAAATGAGTTATTTACGGAAACAACTTTCAACTTGTTGTTTAAACGCTCAGAGCAATAAATGCAAAAAACCTTCTTTTTATGTCCATGTTTTTCACGTTGCAACTTAAAGCTCCTGAACAAACCAAAGTCAGAAGAATTTGTTTCCAACTTATAAAATAGGACGATGAGAGGAGCAAGTGAATGCAGCATTGGCCTTGCCTCTCATTCTAGTTTGCAGACCCTGTTACTGATCTTTAGTTTAGCATATACCTTGCTGCCAACTTGCAACTGGAACTACTTTCTAATGATGAAATAAACCTTATCATAACTATTGCATCATCATATTACTATTACAATAATACTTGAAATTAGCAATTTAGAACATACTCTTGCCAGGAAAATTGATAATATAAACAATTCAAGTGTAAGGCACTTCTCCAGAGGAAGCCACTTGTGCAGAATACCTTATTTTATATATTTTTTTTACATATCAAGAATTTAGCAGACACCATAAAAATGGGAGACTGTAAAAGACCATACACTTCTTAAAGGGAGACATGTTTGAAAATGCTAATTTCTTTTTAAATCTCCAAATAATTGTATCCCTCTATATCAATTTTCATGTTAAAGTATGCAAACTGTAACGCATACTGGATAAACCATTTAGAATCTGTGTTATTATAACCTGTTGAAGCAAAAAGTGTGCTCCCAACATCATCTGCAGCAAAGACACGCTGCGCAAATCAGATTCCTATCACACACAGAGTTGCACAGAGGTTAGATGCATTTAGAGCTCCTTTACATCTACAAGGGCGAGAAGGCAGAGCCCCGTGTCTGCGGGGGTCCATCCTGAGGTCAATACTACAACACTGTAAACTAATGATCCAGCAAATTCCCTCAGTCCTGCTCTCTCTCCTCCTCCTCCTCCTTCTTCTTTCCCTGAATCTGTTGTTGCCCTCCGTCTCTCCCACTCGCTGATCCCCCGCTGCGCTGCAGAAATGAAAAACAACTGAAGCCTCGGCTGCACTGGGCCTGCTCTACTTCTCTGATACACACTGATAAACAAGGCTACTTGTTAAGAGACTAATGAAACTCTGCCTCGTCTTATTTGTTCCTTTCACAGCCTTTTCATCTGGTGTTTTCTTGTCACCCAGTCCTTTCTTTTGTTGTGGCCATGGCATTGACGCCCTATGGAACATCGACTCCCGCCTGGAAATGTAAACACAGATAACGAAATGATCTGCAACAACAAGGAAGTCTAAACTAAATGTGATGCCAGGCAGTGAGATATGAAAGAAGGAAGTTTAGTGACTGCAGGAAATATGTAGCCTGTATTGTTCTCAAAGACTTAATGACCAAAATAATCAGAAGATATTACAGCACAAGGTTAATTTACAATAAACAAACCGTGGCTGAAATGTTAAGACTCATAACACAAATGTATTTCATTCCCACAAAGCCATGGGTCCACTAATGTTGAACTTAACAGAAAGTATGTCTTTGCCGATAAAATGTAATGTCTGTTGCATCTATGAACACAGTTTATATGTTTTCTTTAAGAGGCAGCAGGTTTTTCAGCATGTCTGAAAATATGAAGCTAAGTCTCTTCATCATAGGTGAACTGAGCTGCTTTGGCTAACTGTCAAGGGATTCCTGAGTAACACTTTAAACAGAATAATAAGTATATGTACTGCATATTTCATACAGTACATGCTTACATGCACACAAATATGTGCTTACATATGTTTACACAGAGTATCTTCCAGGCCTGGAGGAAGGTTTCCATCTTTGCATCTGTCAGTGCGTGCATGCAATAAGGCAGCGAAGAGCCGTTCAGTCCCATCATATCGATTGAGAGATACAGAATGGGGCTCAAGGGATGAAGCTACTCAAACCCACTGTTGACAAACATGAGCGAACCGGATTTAAAAGACAAAATAAATATGAAGCAGTAGCTCGGAGTAGGCTAGAAGTGAGACTATTAATCTACTGTTATACCATAACCCCTTTCCCTCTATGAATCCCTTATCAAACACAGTCAAAGGCATATGATCAGTAAATACCCGTACCAGCGGGTGCAGATATGGCCCTGGTCATTGCTCATTTGACCCAGAGCATCCAAAAAAGTAGTGAGCAGCCATGCCTGGTTGAATGCATCTGAACAGGGTCTTCACCTCAAAGCACTCTCACACAGGATCTGTTGTTCTGTGTTCATCCAGTTTAGGTTTTACTTCTCATGCTACACAGTGGATTCAATGTGTTGAAAAGCAGCAAAAGCAAATGCAAGGTGTACATTTAGGCCAGTTTGTAACAACCTGTTATTTCCAATACAACTGTCACTGACCTGTCCACCCCTAAAATTGACTTAATTCTACAATGAAAAACTCTTGATTGATAAGAAAAAAAGGCTTAATAACTGCATTACTTGGGTGAAACTGTTTTTTCTTATAGCCTGTCAACAAACGGATAGCACAGCCATGACAAGCATTTCCATTTAAAAAAACGCTCATCTTTGTCTGAGTATATGTTAATAAAAAAGCGATACAGATCATCTATGCCCAACTATTAAAAACAAGCCCGATCGACTGTGTCTGTATCGGCAAATGTGGAGACAACATGACTGTCTGCCTGTCACAAATGACATCTCGGTGACTGTCACTGGACTAAACCAGCGTGGCATTAAAACACGAGATAGTCTCTTTGAAAAGCAACACCTCACAACCATAGACTGTAAATAAACTCAAAACACGCAGACAGATGCGTGGACTTTTTGCCGCTCCTCCGCCGACATACGGTCCTGAGCGTATAGTTTCGCTCCACATGTTTACATAAATGGTAAAATCGCCACTATATCGCAACTGTTTACTAGGATAAATGTGTGTTAAACAAGCGTTAAATACATGCAAAATTACAAATGAATGTTAAAAATGAAGACGCTCGCCCGAAATTAAATAAAACAAACACACATAAACACCAACACAGCACAAGAGGAGAACAACATCCTTAAATGAATCATTGAGGCAGTGTTACATTTGAACCTCCTCTGTCATACAATAAAAACCCGCCGACAAAATGTCCATATTCCTCTAAATAAATTAACTTTCCAAGCCTTGCAGAGCGGAGAGCTCCACGCCGCGGAGTGAAGCCCCCCCTCCGCAGCTCGGTGTGTGTCTCCCCCCGGCCGCTCAGCAACTTCCCCCACAGCCGCGGTTTCCTCCCCCGTAAATAAAACTTAC